CCGAATTCGTACCTTGCCTCGGATCCAACATCTCTGCGCTGCAGAGCCCTGTAGAACCATCAAAGCCGCCTACTGCTACAATACTTCCGTCTAACACAGCAACACCGAGAGTACTACGGCGAGCTTCCATAGCTGGTCCAGTAAGCCACAAATCCCTAAAAATGGCACAATATTGTAAATTCAAAAAAGAAAGCAAGTATGAAAATTAACGGCTGACAAAACGCCTTTACCTGCGAGGGTCGTAAATTTCAACAGATCTTATACGAGCGGAGCCGTTAAAGCCTCCAATTGCGTAGACTAGATCACCAGCCATGACAACACCGCATCGACATCGGCGTTGTTGCAAGGGAGCAACTGAAGTTCAACTACTACTCGATTTAACAAAACTAACCGTACTGAAACTCACGTGAACTCCATCGTTGCGAGTCTGGATCAAACGTATCTACGCTCGCGATAGCCTTCGGAGCTTGTCCCCCAACTACCATTATTAGCTGCAAAATTTTCTCGTAAAATGATAACAAAAAACAGATTTTGAATGGAATCTCTCGCCAACTACTTAGCTAATGGGTATAGAGTTAAATTCTCATTGAAACCTGGTCTTATTCTAGCTTACCTGTGAAAGAGGTACAGGCTGCCTCGGCCTAATCCAGCTTGCAACTAGACCTGGGGTTATTTCCTTCTTTAGAATGTGATGATAAACCGAGCAAAGCATTGCTATACATGCAGGTGACTCTTGTATCTAAAAGATAGTATTTCGAAGGGGAAATCATAGAAAAGTTCTAGTACCAAGGGTTCCTGATAAGCTCGATCAAGAAGGAACTCCTGTGAGATGAGGGGTAGACGAACAGCAGCCAAGACGCTAAATTGTAGAAATACAGCATAAGCATAGTAGTTTTAAAGGGGAAAACAATCACTTAGGCAAAGATGGCTTTCGTGATAAATCGTACTTGACCCAGTTAATCACAGCTTCGAAAACTGCTTCTTCACCCTAATCAAAAAGATAACTATGTTATGCTATATGAAGAACATTCAATCAATCAAAAAAGTATACTAGTCAAAAAACTTCACCTCCGTTGTCAAACGATCATCAGAGATAAGTTGTATGAAACTTTCTTCATCCATTGTTAGTAGTTCTTCACTCTCCACCAACAGTCTAAGATGAAAGATGATAGCTTCTGTTTTAAAGTCAAAGCACACATCTCTAACCTGAAATGTTGGTGGGTGAACATCTGCGCTGCATGTGCTAGCTGCGTACAATTGTGGAATTGCGCAAAAGATGCAATACCCAAACAGTTGCTGGCATCTAGTTGTTCCAGTAAAAACCTATAAGACGAGGATATAGAGCGCTAATTTTATACCGAAAATCCAATACAAGATCGATCCTCTTTCAATTTGAGTTAATCAAGATTGAATTATGCAACACAACTTTTCAGCGATGATGTATTTCAGATATTTAACATAACCTAAATCTTTCCGTAAATTTTGAGAAAACGCATGATAAAAGAATTTTAACGATAAGAGTGTGACCACTCATCAAAACGAAAGTAGCGATATAAGCACGGAGTGAATGATTCAAAAGTCCTAAATCACTGCTTGGGGCAGAACTAGCGAACGGCAAAAGTGGCCTATTTTGCA